ATACAAAAAAAAATAATGACGAACGCATCTACTTTTAAACCACACGTAACAGTGTATGTTTATCCTATCTATCAGTACTTAGTGCTTATTTAAGACAAGCTTGCCAAAAGTGAGCTGATGGATATGACTCAAATTTCTGACATAACACAGAAAACAGGACGTGACTTTTTGGGTTTTATTTTAAGTTTTTCTTTTCTTTTTCGCTGTTGTCGTTGTTGTCATTGTTCGTTTTGATTGTTTGTACTCACTGGTGTGGGATTGGGAAACACTCCCAAACAGATGCATCTCTTAAACAGTGTTAGCTAAAGGAGGGCGGGGCTAGCAGAGCGATGGGTTGAAGGCGGAGCCTCGTGAGTGATTGACAGTTAAGTCTGTGGTACTCTGAATTTAAGGGCAAAAGGGGGAAACAGAGAGACATTGTGCCTTGAATTTGAAAAACTTGAGTATTTTCTTTTTTTTTTCTTAATATTTGCGTTGTTCATGGGATGAAGTAGATGGTTCCTGTTTATGGTGTTTTTATTTTGTCTGAGGATTAAGAGGGGTTAGGATTGGGGGGGGGGAAGAGACATAATTAATGCCAAACATGAAATTAGGACGTTTGTCCAAGGTCACGTCATTATCTGAAAGGCGTTTAATCTGTGTGTGTGTGTGTACGAGTGTGTGTCCGTTTGTACATGTATTGTTGGTGAGACATGCAGTAAGAGCATATAAATTGAGAGGAACGATACATGATCCAAGAGACAACCCAGAAGAATCCCGAATGGATTCTGTCTCTTCAGGGCGGAAAGCGGCACGAGTGTCGGCAGGCAGAGCTAGAGAGAGACGTTAATGAACTGACAGGTTCAGAGTGTTGATAATCTTCAGTATTTCAGCATCTCTTTCCTCGCTGTATGTGGAAGGAAGGCGGGATGAATATGAGCGTGGAAAGTGGCGCGCACACACTCGATAGCTTCCGGCCCACAACTAAAGGAAAGGCAGGAGGGGATTGGTGACCCTCTGGTGTGGATGATTGGTCTTGATGGTCTAGAAGGCACAGTGAAACCTTAAGATAAAGCCAGAAAACACAGAGACAGATGCATTCGTACACACACACACACACATGTACATCTGAGAGCATTGTAATACACTGCAGTTTGATCAAATGGAGTTTTGGCCTCTTCTGTCTCTGCTGGGAGATCTGATGCTGTGGCAGAGAAGGTGATGGAGCATTTGTCATGTCCCTGGTTGTCATGGTTAAAGGGGAGGGAGCGCTCCCTCACTTTGTTACTGACGTCTTGGTTCCTGCTCTCAAATATTACATTTTTTTTTTTTTGGTTCTTTCCACATCATAAAAAAAAACAAAAAAGATTCAAATGGAAGTGAAATAAATTATTTCTGGAATGACACCTGTGTGCGGTTTGGTTTCTTCTCTTCAGTCTGGTTTCAGTTTGTGCACTTTGTATGAATTGGGTGCAGAACAGGATCTGAAACTATAGTATTAAAAAAAAAAACTAGTATTTTTCCTAGTAAATTTTAAGCAAGAGAAAGTAATAGTCAAACTCTGAAGGTTAAACTAGATATTATATTAAAGGGATGCTCCACCCAAAAATGTAAACATTCTCATCGTTTACTCACCCTCATTCCATCTCCGATGTATTTGGCTGTCTGTTTTGGTAGACAAACTGATGTTTAAAAAAAATAATCCATCTCTGAGGCATCGAGTCATCAATTGGGGTTGTAGGGATTATTATCATGTTCATTTTGTGTGGTTTTTGAAGCATTGACTTTTTAGGGGCCCATCCACTTCATTTAACTCCGAGATGGAAAGCCTCTTATTTTTCACAGAAGAAAGTCAAATACATCTGAGAGCATGAGGGTGAGTAAATGAGAGAATTTTCATTTTTGGGTGGAGTGTATTAGGTGTCATTTTTCCTTTTTTTTTTTTTTTTAATTTGTAGTAGAGTTAAAAATCATTAACAGGGATATGCACTAAATGTTGAGTATAGTGTTTTGGTTGTTTGAACCTACCTGGTTTTTAATGCTAGGTTAAGTTTTTGTTAGGTAATGCTTTCTTACCACAAACAAAACATTGAAGTCAGGCTCCTATGTATTTTGCTCCTTTATTACCAACATAGGGAAATCATGTTTTGCTTACCACTGCTAAATAAAATTGGCTATTTCATCAATATGATCAATATGAAACTATGAGGCTCGTGTGGGAGTGCCTCATACATTCTAAGCTCTCAAATAATCAAATTTTTTGGATTGCTTAACTTTATAAAGAGGCTGACTGCAGAATTTATTTTACAGGATTGATAGGTCACTGCACTGTAATACTGGTTGTGTTTGCTTTTGTTTATAAATACTAAAACGCATGATAGCAGTTTAGAACCTGATCCCAGGTTCAGATGTCACAGCAAATAAGACCTTCAAATGAAAAGGCATTTTGTTACCAGAGCTTAATGTATGTATGTTTACTGATTCATCACTAAGCACATTGCAGTGTTTACGTTTTGCATTTAGCAAAGCTTTATTCTGCTCAGTGCTAACAGACCGGTTTTATTCCAGGATGTTACATCATAAGGGTTACTGCACAAATAAGACTTTGTAAAGGTATATTAATATTATCATACCACCTTTTATAAATGCCACTTTTTATAAGTGGTTTATAACAGGGTGAAACTAAGACCATTAAAAAGCTTTTTTGTTACTTTAAATAAAATATTTAAAAACATTTCAGCTAGTTTTCTCATTTTAATTTAGTTTAAAATGTGAAAACTAGCTGAAATAAATACTTTAATTGGTTTCATTTAGTGTGTGTGACGTGTCACACAAGAAACATTTCATGATGGGTAAAAGCAAAGAGCTTCCTCAAGACCTTTGCAACCTTATTGTTGCAAAACATACTGCTGGCATTGGTTACAGAAGGATTTCTATACTTCTGAATGTTCGAGTGAGCTCTGTTGGGGCCATAATCCAGAAGTGAAAGAACATCATTTCACCATAAACCAGACATGGCCAGGTGCTCCTCGCAAGATTTCTGACAGAGCAGTGAAAATAATTATGCCAAGGACCACTTGTGGAGTTTCAGAAAGATCTGGAATTAGCATGTACAATTGTTTCAAAGAAAACAATAAGTACAATATGTAATGCACTCATCCGCCGTTGCCTGTATGCACGCTCACCACGCAAGACTCTATTGCTGAAGAAAAAGCATGTTGAAGCTCGTTTAAAGTTCGCTGCACCACATTTAGACAAGCCTGTGAAATATTGGGAGAATATAGTCTGGTACGATGAGACCAAAATTGTACTCTTTGGATGCCATAATACACATGTTTGGAGGTTCATAATACACATCACCCCTAAACATCATGGTGTAGCACTGGCAAAATTCATATAATTGAAGAAAGGATGAATGGAAAAATGTACCGAGACATTCTTGATAAAAAAATCTGCTGCCATCTACCAGGATGATGAAGATGAAATGAGGGTGAACATGATTAACGAGACGATGATCCCAAACACACAGCCAAGGAAACTCTCGATTGGTTTCAGAGAAAGAAAATAAAGCTGCTAGAATGGCCCAGTCAATCACCTGACTTGAATCCAATAGAAAATCTATGGAAAGAACTAAAGATTAGAGTTCATAGAAGAGGCCCATGGAACCTGTTTGTGTGGAAGAATGGGCCAAAATCCCACCTGAGCAATGCATGCCACTAGTTTCTCCATACAGGAGGCGTCTTGAAGCTGTCATTACCAACAAAGGCTTTTGTACGAAGTATTAAATACATTTCAGTAAGCGTGTTCAACACTTTTTCCCTGGGTCATTCCATTTTATTATACAGAACTTAATTTCTGAACTTATTTGTATTGTTTTCTTTGTATTACTTGGGTTGTTACCGACATCTGGTGAAA